TCATAAAATAAACTAACAAATTATCCTCTATCTCCAACTATAATTCTAATTAGTTACTAGTTTTGAGGGCAACCCAAAAAGGACTTTACTTCTAATTCAAGAATATACCAATTTAGTTATACGCTTAGAGACCTTAATCCAATAGCTATCAGCTGCAGATGAAACTTCTATCAATGCCAACTAACTATATTACGAATACAATTACATGTAACAAATATTAAACAGTCCTTCGACTGAAAGATCTTTCACTACAATGGTTGGACTAAGACAAGAGTTGCACAATAAGGCCAAATCAAACATTCTAAAACTATTTAATCTTTGTGGCATGCAACTTAACGTATTCGACTAATAGTTAACTAACATCAATATAGGTTTCACAAACCACAAAGAAAGTAGCACTCGAGCAGAAAAACCAACATGCAATAAGGCATCATAAAGATTAGGCAATCCTAACATGAAATTCATGAAGATCCTTAGCCTAAACACTATCAGGTATCTTTAATAGTTGAGATATCACATACAAATGGTATCACTCCTAAGCAGGCACTCTAGCATGCAACCCTGAGCAGATCCTTTGACTACTTCTACCATGAAATTCATACTATAACATAAATATCATATCGAACATGTATGGATATTTTGGGAATCACTTACTTGAGCTCCGAAATGACTATACACATCACATCCTCTTTTCTCATTTTTTAAAATTATCCATTTCAAAAAACTTGTGAAAATTATCAGATCTTTAGTTTGAGTTCGGAATCACACAACTGTTTATCCAAATCCCTCAAACTAGGGATCTAATACCAACTTGTAACGCCCCAAATTCCATAATAAAATTTTCATTTAAAATAGAATAAACACTGATTATTAAAGTTACATTTAAGTCAACCAATTGTTCATAAGCCATAATTCAAAATTAGAGTTATAAGGAAGATAATGTGGAATCTCAAATCATAAAACTGTTGATGTGTGTACAGTCTCGCCTTCACAATCCGATAAGTATCTGAAAAACATTTTAATCCAAAAATGTAAGCATAAGCTTTGTGAGTTCCTCAAAATATCACATACATCACATCATAAAAATCAGCTATGTGTTATCAACAACCTTCGGACTATCATCAGTCCTAAACATTACCTACATCACAACAATATAAACATCTATGGGTTATCATCAACCCTGGGACTCTCAACAGTCCTATGGGCTCACCAAAGCCCTATGGGTTATCAGCAACCATGTGGGTTATCAGCAACCTAATGGACTATCAACAGTCCTGGAGTTATCAACAACTCAGATACATATATAACAACAATTAGAAAATAAGACTCAACTAGTCTAGCATGTACACCATTATGACATAGGTAATTTAGTCATAAGACTCACCTAAACGAAGAGCTGAAATCCACTACTCAAAGTCTCATAGAATCAGCTACATGAACCTCTTATACCAATCACAAGGTAAACCTCATATTATATCTCAACACCTCTCAAAGTTTGACCAAAAGTCAAACTGGTCAAAAATTCAATGGTCAATGGTCAAAGTCAACAACCCAAAGTCAACACATCTGATCACCACGTTGTGGTCATGCACCTGCCATGACATGGAAATTCCTAGACAAACAGTCACAAAGAATCCACTCGTCACAACGTGGTAAGCAGGTTGCCACGTTGTGGGAACTGTCCAGAAACCACTTAACAGATTAAGCCCTTAATCCATTAAGCCACATACCCATCTCTTCCATAATACTTCCAAATGTCCACAAGCTTCATGAAAACCATTGCTTTATGGACATGGATTTCTAATGCATGCTTGCACTTGGTTAGGTCAACATGGTGAAAATGAGGTCAAAATCTCATGCATGGAACCAAAACTCAACCAAACTTCAGATCTAGCACACCAAACCTTATAGGGACCCTAAGGATCTATAAAGTTTCCAACTTTATGGAATCCAAGAACTTAAACTACCCAAAAAATGAAGAACAAAGCATAAAATCCTAGATTTAGAAGCATGTCACATAAAAGTTGGAACTTGAGGACTTACAATGGTCCAAAATATATGCTCCAAGGTGGTGAGGGAACTTGCTTGCTGTATCTATGCACAAAGAACACCTTCTTCTTCACCAAGGAATCAAATCAACACCAAAAGCTCACAAATGGATGAAAGAGGAGAGGGGGCTCAAAGTGGTGAAAGGGAGGCTAGGGATTCATTTAGGAAGGTTGGAGGCTGAAGAAGATGCATAAAACTTGATGTTATGAGCTTTAAATACGAAATAAACCCTAAAAGATAATGGGCTTGGGCTGCCACAACCACCACGCCGTGGCACACTACTTGCCACATCATGGTGCTCACTAAAAACCCGCGATCATAAAAAGTCATGCCACGTCCTGGGTATCTATATAACACGTTGTGGAAAATAATGTTCCTCAAAAACCAAACCTTAACTCCTTCAGGTCACCACTGATCCATCCTACAAAACTGGTGTTACTGAATGTCAAATTCCCTTTTCTAAACACAAATAAGTTTTGAATTCGGGAAGTGCAGACTAGTTCATGATATATGAAGTGCGTAGGCAAATCGATGATCGTTATCTTCCTGAAGGGAATGTGCTACCAGATGGAATAAATACATTCCTATGAAACTTAATATACTTAATTGGCGAATCCGATAAAAAAGACTCCCTACTTGGATTAATCTTGATGGAAAAGGATTGGATATTCCTTCTGTTGTTTGCGTTGTTAGTGACTTGGAAATTGAAGATAATATGCGCTTTTTCCTTTCTTTTTCAAGTGGTGATCGACATATGAAGATTCGTGGGGAGATGGTGTGCGATTACCATTAATTCGATTTTAGAGATTTAAGATTTCTTCCACTGGATTGACTCGGTCCCTCTTTCCAACATGAAGCGAGCAACCTTGGATGCTATCATCACGATTATGTGGTAGCTGATGTGAAATTTTCAAAACAGGATTTTGTTCAATGACCAGTCTGTTAGAAAGGATTCGTTGATTGATAGATTGATCGACCATTCCTATATGTGGTTTGTGAACAGGGATAGGCATATTCACATTAGTAGAGTCTCATGGATGTTAAATTATGTTTTGTCTATTCTTATGTAACTTTTCTATAATTTCTTGTTAGCTTTTTGTGAACTGTCTTTTTTATAAAATCTTTTAGCCATTCGAAAAAAATATGTATTAGTTATATTATAACCGTATTTTTCATTAAATATCCAACTTTAAAATGAGTGTGGAGATGTGAAGTGCACAGTCAGATAAGCTAATGTGATCTCGGGAACACGAGGGTCTAGGGATCGCTTTAATTACCAAGTGATTGTTCGTTGTATATATTCATGATTTTTGGTTCTTGCAGATATACTTATTGATTTGTTGGAAAAAAAAATTATATCTTAATCGTGCATGAAGAATATGGTTATAATATAATACAATTATAATATAATTAATACATATTTAGTTTGTTATGTATAAATTTAGTGTATGTTAATTTGATTATCTTCTCTATTGTCTCAACTAGATATTTTAACTATTAACCACATTTATTATGCATTTATATGAAATTTTTATGTTTCCAAAATAAAACTATTATTATTTAGTGAAACGTTTATATTCCATTTATTTTCTTACATATACTTCTTGATTTCCATTATATCCATTCGAAATTTATTTACATTCGTCAATAACTACATAAAGAATATGGTCCAACATAAATAATACTTTCGTCAATAACTACATAAATAATATGGTCCATCAAAAGTGAACAAACTGAAGAAAAAAAAAAAAGATGATCAATTTTGGACAAAAAAGTCGAGTGTCAAAATTGAAAAAAAAAATTAAAACTTAGTGTCAAAATTGAAAAAAATGAAAATTTAGTGTCTTTTGTGACATTTTTATTTATTTATTTATTTATTTTGACAAATCAAAATGTCACGTCATAAAAAATAACATGTCAGAATACCATGTCAGTAAGCAAGCAATCGATTGACCGGTCAAGTGGTCAGAACTATAACAAATTGAAATAACAATGTCCAATTCATGAAAAAAATAATGCAATTTCAAAATCGAATTTTAATGTAAAATTAATTACTTTTGTGGAAATTACCAAAAGTAAATTGGTCAATTCACCAATGAATTACAAAATGATTCCATTTTTTCCTAAATTTATATTTGCAAATCTACTCCATTTTAACAAACCGGGAGATAGAAATAAACGTATTTTATACACATTTACTCAAACAACTACATTCGTACTAGAAAAACATGAAAAACGTTAAAATGACAACATCTTGAACATACATGAAAAACGCTAAAATGACGGCATCTTGAGCTGTTTGCGGGTTCACGTAGTGACCTATTAAATCGTGTAATCATCATATATAATATATTTACGGTCATTAGAAATATTAAGTAGTGATTATTTGATTTCGAAGCCGTTATACTTGCACAAAACGATCATAAAAACCTTTTGATGGTTTTCGTCTTCTCCTAGGTTCCAATTTTCAAGTCAAACTCGCAAAGACGTTCCAAAGAAAATTCGTAAACATGTCACCATTATTCTTTTCCATTTCACGGGTCATTTTCTTTAAATTTATGAAAGATGATTATTTTCTAACAATGCATGGTTGGCATTTTCTTATTATTTTACTCATTAACCCATTAATAAATGACAAAAACATCTTATAAATCATTATAATTAGACTCAAGATAGATGTCAAAACTCATTGTCGACTTGAAAGTGTTCCTAAACGTTACGTGAGCGAAAGAAAGCAAGTGGCTGAGAGTTTATGCCAACGCATGGCTGAGTCACGTGCGTCCCCACCTATCAAAAAAATCTTAAACCTCGGCCCGGTTCATTTTTCAACGGCTACCGCTTGCCAACAATCCTAGAATCCCTCCCAACTCTACACCTATCAACATTTTGATTATTTTCTCCTTTTTTTCGTATTTAAAACCCAAAATTCAAAATCAATTAATAAAAGAAACAAAATATTGTTTTTTCAAATGAAGGAGTGGCAAGAGTTTGGGTTTTCAGGGAAGGACTTGGAGACCCTGAATTCTCAGGGAAGGACTTTCCGGCATGTTATAAATACCCTCGTTTTTTCTTCACAATTTGCCACCCATCTTTCTTCTCTTTATCTTCACACCACCATTAAATACTGTCTTTCACTTTTTAACAAGTTTCCACTCTAAAAATGACGATCATTGTGGATCAACCCCAATTTGGTAACGATTGATTCTTTTCTTTTTTCCGCTTTATTTACAATCTTGACAAGTTTTGATAAATGATGTTAAAATGGATTCTTTTGTTTAGATCGGTTTCTTGAATTAATGCTTCTTGCTATCGAGTTTTGGTATGATCACAAATTCTTCTTGGAATTAAATATATTTTGATTATTGATATTATGTTTTTTTACGAGTTTTGAAGATGTTGATCTTATGTTATACTAAGAAATTTTGATAATAAAATTACACTTTTTTTTTTTTTGTTAATTATTAAAAGTATGAAACCACGAAAATGGTATCCAATTTTGCTTGGATGTTGATTATACTTTCATAAATTTTGGGATTTATCTTAACTTTTTTGTTAATAAATCAATTTTCAAGATGAGGTTTTCTTGATTTTATTGGTGTATTTTAAATTTAATTAATTAATTACTTTTCTTGAGAACAGAGAACGAAGATAAAGTGCAGATCCCAAAGAACGGGGAGAAATCAGAACTGGTGTTGGATGGTGGATTTTGTGTTCCCGATGCTAACACTTTTGGCCACAATTTTAGGTCTTTTTCTTTTTATGCCACTTATATTTCATTATTTCTACTGGAATAAAGGACTTTATGTTTGATTTGTTTGGATTAAATAAAACAATAATGAATTTAGAATAAATCCCATTACCGTTCATAACAAAGAAGGGATTTTGATCAAATTTCTAGGTTCCTAGAGAAAAACTAAAATTGTCAAAAAAAAAAAAAAAAAAAATTACTGGATTTTGGAGTCTATATGATTCTATATAGGCGTTGTGACATTTATTAAATAAGACATGACTTCTTCTAGGTAAATATTAATTAATATGTTGTTATATAGGGATTACGATGTAGAGAGTGAAAGACAAAAGAGCGTGGAAGACTTTTACCGGGTCAATCACATCAACCAAACGGTTGATTTTGTAAGTATCATTTTATTTCAAGGCTAAAAATATATTGTTAATTTTAGTAAACTAAATCCAATTACGTAATTTTCAACTATATTTTTAACTATATGGATCTATATATAGGTGAAAAGGATGAGACATGAGTATGAAAAACTAGACAAAGTCGAACTGAGCATCTGGGAATGTTGTGAACTGTTGAATGAGATAGTCGATGAGAGTGATCCAGACTTAGATGAACCTCAAATCGAGCACTTATTACAGACCGCTGAGGCTATAAGAACAGACTATCCAAACCAAGATTGGCTTCATTTGACTGCTTTGATCCATGGTATTTTTCAGTAAAAAATAAAAAATAATAAAAAATAAAAAGTTGCTATAAGTTTATGTTGATATATGAATTTATATGTAACTCAAAATTCGTGTTTTATAGATCTTGGAAAGGTTCTACTTCATCCTAGTTTTGGAGAACTTCCTCAATGGGCTGTTGTTGGTGACACGTTTCCTGTTGGGTGTGCTTTTGACAAATCAATTGTTCACAACAAGGTTTAGTTTCAAATGAACTAATGGATATATTATTTTTATTTTGATTATATATTTATATCTTTGTGGTTCTTTGAATTTTTGGTTAATTTGATTTGAGTTTTGGTTTTGTAAACAGTACTTTGTGGATAATCCAGACTACAATAATCCTATTTACAATTCGAAACATGGAATTTACTCACAGGGATGTGGACTTGAGAATGTTATGATGTCATGGGGGCATGATGATTACATGTATTTGGTACATAGTAATAGTCTACAATTCATAATTTTCGTCCATATTGTGTTGGGCCTCACTATGTCATTTTTTTATAACACTTTGATTGTTTATGTTTCTTTTTTTTTAGGTGGCAAAAGAGAACAGGACCACTCTTCCATCGGCTGGGCTTTTCGTCATAACATATCATTCCTTCTATGGTAATCATTGTTTTCTTTTTTAACTTAATAAGTTTAAAGAAGTTATGTATTTAATACGAACAGCCATATATTATTGTTTCATTTTAAGTTATGTGGACATATTTACTTGATGAGTCAAAGCCAAAAGAATGACTTATTATATACTTACACCATCCATTTACCTTCTTATTTTGTCTCTTACCTACTCACATGATAAAATTAGTAACTATTATGAAAAAAAAAATATAAAATATAAGGGTAAAATAGTTATTTAGTATCATTATGATAATTTATTCGGTACACAAAAAAGGGACATGCATCATTATTCATTTAACCGTTTTATCCATATTGAACTTAATACTAAAAAAACAGCCTTAAAGACTTTTTATAATTTGAAAATTGAAACTCTTAGTAAACATTCCCTATTTACTGATCTTTTTTTTTTTTTTTTTAAATTGTTTTGTAACAATAGCACTGCATCGATCTGGAGCATATAAGCACTTGATGAATGAAGAAGATGCCGAGAATCTAAAGTGGCTTCAAATATTCAAGTAAGTCTTTTGTTTTCATAATAATTTTCCCAATTTCATCTTTAAAATCTGTGAGGTTCTTTTGGTCAACTACACTCCTCATTTGCTTATTTACTTTATGTTTGCATGTATATATAGTAAGTACGACTTATATAGCAAGAGTAAAGTTCGGGTGGACGTTGAAAAAGTGAAACCATACTATCAGTCTCTCATTAACAAGGTGAGAATATAGTTACAACAAAAGTTTGTGAAATTAACCAAAGTATTTGGCAATGCTTATTTTTAAAAATGTCTTGACTGCAGTATTTTCCTGCAAAGCTCAAGTGGTGAGGAGATAATGAAGAGCTTAATTGTGTTGGCTAATTAGAGTATCATGAATAGAAATAAGTAATTTCTCATTTCAGAGCAGAAAATAATATCAGAATGATAGGATATAAGTACAACAAATGTTTGTTTCATTATATGTTGATTTGTTGTCAGCCGTGTCTCTTTCTTTCCTTTTTTTGTATTATCATGTGGTTAATGTAAGGGTTTGGTGTTGTTATGATTTGCTTTTATCATAACCAAAGAAATTGATTGTATAACTATCTTTTGTTTTGTCAATTTAAATAGATCAACATGGACTATAATTCGTCTTGTTTCTGTCCTTTTAGGGTCCATATATATTTCAGTTTTCAAGTTGAAATTGAAATTGAACAAAAATCAACAACCTTTTATATGATGGGCGAAAATGCTACCAATCTTGATCATGATCAACTAATGGATCTTCATATGTCAAATAGACGGTAGATGAGTTCTCTAAGCAATACGTTTATGTCCAATATAGTAATGAAGACTTTCGTGAGTGTGGTTCGAAATTTTGGACATTTTGGTGAGCATGTACAGTCAAATCCAAGTGAACCATGTGACAAGGAGGTTATGTTATCATCAATTTTTATTGAAATCAATTATGGTCAATCGGATCGAATAATGAAACAAAAAACAAAGGCAAAGTTTTTTTTTTTTTTTTTTTTTTTTTTTTTTTTTTTTTTTGTCATTGATGAATTTGCAAGCATGAAGAAACTATAAAAGAATAAGCCGGTAGTTATTTTCCTTTATCCCACCAACGTGGGTGAAGAAACCTAAAAGTGGGTTTATAAGTTTTTTCACTTGTTAATTAAGAGGATGTTTTGGCTTTGCTTTTTAAATGACTTTTTTGGGACTTTTGGCTTTTTTAAAAAGTCAAAAGTTTAAAAAGTTGTTTGGTAATTTGGAAAGATCTTTTAAATTATCTTTTTTAGTAGAAGAAAAATGAGGGGTTTAAGAAGTCACGAATATGTAACTTTTAGCAACTTTTGCCTTTTTTCCCTTTGCCCTTCAAAAGTTTAAACAAACACATTTTAAAACTTATCTTTTGGAAAAAGACATTAATCAAAAAGTTCTTTTATAAAAAGGATTTTTTAGTTTAAAAAGCTATCCCAAACACCTCCTAAGCCTTCAAAGTCTTCATTGGAAGTCAAGAGATAGCCAAACCCACATGCAAGCGCCAAGCGGAAGACACGAGTTTGTGAAATGACTTAATTTGGGTCGAGTTGGTTGGACCGACCCAATCAACGTGTTGACGGACATTGACTTTATGGATAAGGAAACATAATATTTCAAAAGCCTCCAGAAAATAATGGATAAACTCCAGGTTGAATCGTTTGAGATACCAGATAATGACATCACCATATTCGAAATTTGAATTGGCACATGGCAGAGTGACTGAACGTCGTCATCAAATATTTTTTTAGGATTCAGTAAAATTTGGACCTATAAGGTCCAATTTATTCCACACCTCAAAATCTTCATTTGCTCTCCTCTATTTGCCTCTGTGAACCACAAAATCCATGTTCTTTTGCTTTTTGAGTAATCACTTTGCATTTATCACTTCTTCCATAGTTGTTGGAACGAAGGATATTTTGCATCAAATCTCCAATTTTACACTAAAGCTTACATTCTTAGACCAACATAAAAACATTTAAGGACAATAGCTTCTTTAGTGCAGTCTTTTAGCCGTTAAGATCAGCAAACTAAAGGTTGGTATTAATTTACTGTTATGTTTTTTGATTCGACCGACAACATGAATTATCTTTTCTTGTACTGAACATGTTTTGTTATGAACATGAATATATCTGATTACATGTTATAATTAAATGGTGTTTTTGATTTAGTATAACATTTAAAATCCCGTTACTTACACCGAGCGTATCATGGTGTGAAGATGGAATATATGTTGATATAAATTTTTTTTAATTTAATGGTATGCTTGTTTGTCCACTGCATATATATCTGAGTTGAATGTTTGGAGTCCTTTTAATTACATTGAATTTATTTGGTTGTGAAGAAGGAATATATATTGGTATAAATGATAATTTAATGGTCTTCTTGGATGACTAGAATGTTTGAATTTTTTTTCAAAGCACCGAACATATATTTGTTGTGAGCGTTGTTGATGAAATTCTTGACTAAGTGGAATGTTTCATCTCTCTTTAGCAACACCAAATATATTTAGTTTCGAAGACGAGATATATGTTGCTAAAAGTTATTATTTAATGGTTTACTTAGTTGAGTAAAATATTTGAAGTTCTTTTCGCAACACCGAACATATATTTGTTGAGAGGGTCATTATTAATATTTATGTTTTAGTAGAATATTGCAAGTGGCTTTACTTGCACCCAATATACTCGAGTACACGTAATATATGTTGGTATAAACTATCATTTATTCACCAAATATATTTTGTTGATACCACTGAATATATGTTGTTATAAATTATCATATAATGTTATTGTTTGTTAGGTAAAATATTTTATCATTTAATGGAAGGGAAATGATCACCGTAAAAACATTAAGAAAAAAATAGTGTATGTATTACGGAATTCGTCACCGAACATCTTGATTACAACCTAAAAAACCAAAAAAAATTCCTAAACATGATACATATATTTTTCGAGAACAAATTAATGATATTTTAATTTTAGTTGAATGTTGCAAGTTGATTTACTTGTAGCAAATATACTCTAATGCAAGTACTTATATACATTGTTAGAAATTATCCTTTATTTGTATGTTTGGTTGAGAGAATATTTGAACTCCCCTTACGTTCACCGAACATATTTTGTTGTTACTACTGAATATATATTGTTATAAATTATCATATAATGGTATTATTTGTTAGGTAAAAACTTTTATCATTTAATGGGAGGGGAATGATCACCCACAAAAATATTAAGAAAAGAAAAACAGTGTCTGCATTATTGAATTCCTCATCGGATATATTGTTTACAACCTTAAAAAAACAAAAACACAAAAAAACCCTTAAGTAGGATAACTGTCATTTTATGTTAAAAATATCATCCAAAAAGGAAAAGTTTTAGAAATGTATTTGAAACAACATTAGACCCTAATATTAAATGTTTTCTAAACATGTATATCATCTTTATCTTGTTTCTTATTTTCTTATCAAGGTGTTCAAGTAACATTGCGTTAAAGAGTTGTAAACCATATTTAGAAATTGACTAAGAAAGATAAAGATGTACGTTGATTCAGTGGTAGGACAGGTCAAAATCTTTTACCACTATCAGTAACGCCATATTTTCTTCAAAATTTTTCATGTCCTCATTGAATAACTCCATAACAAAATGTTTTTCGTTCAGATGTCTCTAAAGATCTTTGTATTATGACTCAAGGATAAGTAGCTTTTTAGTGTAATTTGATTTATCGATAGAAGGAAGAAGCCATTTGAGATATAATTGTGGTGTAAATTATTATGAAGAGGATGAAAATAGGTTTGATACTTATTGGTTTATTATACGATGAAAATATATTTACTTCTTTTGGGTTCATAATAGATTACTTTATATTTGAATAATGGAGTTGCTATGATGTATATTCATGTCCAAAAAAGACTTCTTAACCATCTTTTGGAATTCCAATGCATATTGTAATTAAGTGTTGAAACCTTGTCGCCAAAATAGTATAATCATTTACTATGTAGAGGTCTATAAGAGCTATGTATTTAAGGTCATACAAATTAATGATCTATGTTTTGTCTATTCTCTATAAAAAAACAAATATTGTTGAATCTGTTTCCGTCAATATAATTCAATTATAAACACTTTGAAGCTAATTGAATAGCCAAATCACATAATGATCATCATTATGAAATCAAGTTTCACACTTTATTATTTAATTTGCAATCCTTTAATCGAACATCAATCGAAGAAACATATAAGATATGCATAATTCATATTCATCAATATACACATTGTGTAACAATTGGATTTTGGTATGTTCCTTATTTCCCCTTTATATTTATTTTTTTGCAATTTGGCCCTTGGAGTAGTACGTGGGGCGTACCACATGGTACACTTAGCGTACTAAGGAGAGAAGTGACCGCGGGTGCGAGGCCTCGTACGTTGGGCGTACAAGGATTACGCTTAGCATACTCGGAGATTATGAAACCCTAATTTTAGGGTGTTGTACCCTATATAAAGACCATAAGTCCCTAGGGCTGACCTCTTTACCAACCCCCATATATTCTAAACCCTAAAATCGACCTTTAGCCTCTATTGTTGTGCTTTTGAGCTTTTGTGAAGAACTTGGTGCTTGTTTTGCTTATTTTGAAGAGATTGAAAAAGGTGGAAGGTGCATAGCTTGGTGGGAAGCTTTGAGATCCAGAATCATCACTCATTTTGCAAGCCTTTGAGGTATCAAGTTCATACCTTGGCTTTTGAATGCATATATCTCTTTATGTCTTGATTTTCATGCTTTTGGTCCCTTTTTAGGTTGGTTAATGAGTTAAGACGTTTGAATGGCTTCTTGTTTTAGATCTGAGCTTATTAGGAGTTTCTTAAGCATAAAGTTGCAAACTTTATGGGGTATTTGGTCTCATGCATGTAATAAGTCATATATCAATTCCTTTTGGATTTAAGATCTTTATTTAGCCATGCATGAATGTAAAGTTAGCAACTTTACGTGATAATCCAACTCAAGGAAGTAAGATCTACGTTTTGGAGCAATGTGTTAATGGATTAAGGGTTAAAAATGAGATATGGCTGAATGGATGAGTACGTTGGGCGTACAAGCTCGTACGTGTCGCGTACAATACCTAAAGTGTGTACGCTTAGCGTATAGGTGAGTACGCCCCACGTACTCAGTCAGTGATATTTGGACATTTTGGGCTTCGGTTTGGGCCATTCTTTTGGGCTCAGATGCTTAGGTCTTGTTGGGCCATCTGAGTGCAAGTGTGTTAGACTAAGAATGTCTTTGGGCCTTGGAGTAAGGCTCATGTAAGGGCATGTATGGGCCTTGGATGATTATTTTGGTCTTTGGGCCTTTCGGGTTGTAGGTTTGGGCCTTAGTCTTGGACCAAACTAGGTGTGACACCCGTCAAATTTTGGTCAACAAAGGTCAACAAAAGTCAATTGTACGTATATTAGGTCAAAAAGGCGAAATGTGATTCTCGTAACATCCCTAATGTATTATTGAATATTATAATACTACATGCACTATTTTG